GCCCCGCCTGCTGCCGCCGCCGTCCCGCCGTGGCGCTCACCGGAGGCTCGACTGCGCAGCTCTCGCGCTCCCTCCCGCACGGAACGACGAACGTCGCCGCCCCGCCCGCGCGCCCCCGGCCGGCCACTTCCGGGGTCACGCGACTTCCGCTCGCGCCACACGCCAGGGCGCATGCGCGGGCGCCCGGGTCTGCCGGGAGCGTGCCGGTGCCATCTTGCCGGGCTGGTGTGGTGGGTGCGTCCCGTGTGGGCGGTGGGCGGGCTCGGGACGCCTAGGAAGTCCGGTCCCAGTTGGTAGTTTTGCGCCTTTTGCTGCAAGCATTTTCTGGTCCCGGCCGTCCCCACGGGTCAGCCCGCAAAGTAGAGGGACGGGCGGTGTCACGGTCTTGCTCACGCCCCACGTACGTCGTGGCATTTCCGCGAGGTGCTGTAAGGCACGTCTGTAAAGCTCTGGAACATCTCCGCGTGCACGGCAGAGTCCACCCGAGGCCAGCCGACGGCCGCCCTCCCACTTGAGCCGGCCTCTCGCGTCCTCTCGCCATCGTGACCCTCTTGGAAGTTAACGCTGGACCTTCTTCGATCAGCTCACGTTAACCACTCAAAGAACGCTCCGTGGGTGTTGTTGAAAAACAATTCCAACCAAGAAAATTTGAAGATCTAATTGGCTTTATTCAAGGATTTATGGATCAGGCAGCATCCCATTTAATAAACAGGCCTTCCGAAGGGTTGTACAAAAGAAGATTTTTATAGGAAGAAACTAGGTGGGACAAGAAAGTAATTAGCAAAAGGAAAGAAAAGATGCTTTCAGGCAAGATCACCTTTCTTTGGGGGAAGGGCGGCAGGGGTCTTACCAGGCAGATGACCTCACTATTGTTGATCAGGAATTTCCGGACTGGTAAGGTTACATTCCTGGGAGGGGGTGAAACTGCAATTAAGTCTTGGTTTGCGGTCCTGGGGGCAAGTGACTCCACCTTGGGCCTGTAGTTTTTTTATTTTTTACCGGTGTCCAGGTCACCCCTGGCCTGAGCCTGGGCTCTGGGGCCTCTCTTGGTATCTTTGTAACCTGTCCAAGGCTATGCTGGTGGCCCTCTGCCCCACGGTCCCCTCCTGAAGAACACGGCTGGATGGCCAGAAGCATACACAGGCTCAGGGCTGCCCCAGGCCTGCAGAATTTTTTTTTCCAGACTAAATCAACGTTCTTCGGGGCTCAGCACATTTGGTTGCCTTGCCATGAGCATCACTTCGGGGAAAAAACATGTCACTGTGGAATTCCTTGACTCTTGTGACTTTGGAAGCTTTTGGCACAGATGACATGATTTTCTCAGTCTGCTATTCATCACAGACCCAAGAATTCTCCGTTTGTGTGCTCCAATTGTTGGCAGACTTCAGACATTTGCCCACATGCTAAATCAAGGAACATTTTGTAGCACCAGGAGGGGCCTCGTAAAACGGGGCTGGTCTGGCCCGGGGCTGGTCTGCCTGAAGGCCGGAGTGCCCAAACCCCAGCCCAGCACTCCTCTTTCTTCTTGTGGGGTCCAAGCCCCTAACGGCTCCACACCTCCAGCCTGTAGCATTTGTAGAATTGTAATAAGGTGGTAATGAGTTCATGCCACCTATAATGACTGTTAAGCTCCACAAAGGCAGGGAACCCAGGCCAAAACAGAAGTTGTCACAAACACACATATACACACAACTGCATTGTACGTAGGAGGGCATTTTCAGAAATTGAACTTAATGCAAAATACTGACTTTGGTATCTTCTGGAAATTTCTCAATTTTTGAGGAATATTTGCTTATTTTCTGTAACTAGAAGTTGCACTGTCAGCTTTATGTGTACAAAGTTTAGTTGGCGGAAAGCAGAGCATTCTAATTGGGTATTCACTATGTTGCTTCTGAGGCTTCTTGTCATTGTAAACTTGGAATACCACAGCGGACTGTCCCCCTGCACTGCTGTCTGAGTCGCTGGTTGAGGAAAAGTTGGCTTTCGGATAACCCAAGTGCTTTTAAAAAAACCAAACTCTATTATAGAAAATTTCAAACATACATGTTATTAGTAATCTATTACTGTGTAAAAATGTACCCTGAAATTCAGCAGCTTAAAACAACAACCGTTTATTATTTTGCATGGTCTCTGAGGATCAGGGAGCAGCTTAGCGGGTTGGTTCTGGCTCCAGGTCTCTCATGAGGTTGTGGTCCCTGAAGATGTGCTGGAACTCCAAGCTAATGCAGGCACTGTGGGCAGGAGGCTCAGTTCCTTGTGGGCTGTTGGCTGGAGGATTTAGTTCTCTGCCACCTACGGCTCTGGCCACTCCATAGGGCTGCTCACAACAGGGCAGCTGACTTTCCGCATGTGAGGCCTCAGAGACAGACAAACAGACAGACAGACAGAGACAGAGAGAACAAGAGCCAGGGAAACAGCAAGCACTGAAGATGAAGCCAAGGTGTCTTACAATCTAACCTTAGCAGTGCCCTAGCTCCGCCCTACTAGATTGGTCACACAAACCTCTCCTGGCACCGGGTGAGAGGGGACACAGGGGCCTGAGGACCAGGAGGCAGCGGCACCGTTGGGGTTGTCTTGAAGGTGGCCCACCACATGCACCAAAATACTGTAGAAAGAATGGTATTATGAACCCAAGTGGACGGACCATCCAGCCTCAACGGGTGTCAGCTCGTGACTGATCTTGTTTCATCTGTGCCTCATCTCCCCCCACGCAGCAAGTTTGAAGCAACCCCCAGATGTCATTTCCACCATAAATATTTCAGTATGTATTTATTTCTAAGGAAAAGGATCCTTTTTTGGGGTGAACAATAGCCATAGCACCATTATCCCGCTGGGTCCTTGTCTCTACTGCTATATAACAAACCACTCCAAATGCGGTGGCTTGGAGCAGCGAGTCATGATTCTCTCTCCTATTCTGGGGGCTGCGTGAACTCAGCTGGGGCTCTCATGCAGTGTCGGTCAGATTGAGTCGTGCTGCAGCCAAATGAAGGTGGCCGGCCAAGAGGGCCCCGTCATACAGCACTCCCCTGGGGCTGTCAACTTGAGGACCTCCCGCACAACGCCCACGGGATCTTGGCAGCTGGACTCCAAGAGCAAGTTCTGAGAGGCTTGTTCACCGGGCTTCATGTGAGCCCACTCAGAAGTGCCAGAACCAAACTTGTGTGGCTCTCTGCTGGCCAAGCCCATGAGTTGGGCCAGCCCAAGTTCAAAGTCAGAGAGTTAGACTCCACCTTTCAGTGGGAAGAGAAGCAAAGACTGTGTGGCCATCTTTATTCTAGCCACAAGGACCCACGTTCCTCTCCTGTAAAACACAACACTTCCCAGGACCCCCCAAAGTCTCATCCCGTTGTGGCTTCAGCTCAGGACCCAGGTGAGGGTGAGGTTGGGGGTCTGGCTTCTCTTAACCTGAAAATTGAGGCTAAAGACCCAGAAGACCTGCCCAACAGTGCCCGACAGACCATCCCGTCTCACCCCCTGACCTACAGAATCCGTGAACGTAACAAAATGGTGCTTGTTTTACACCAAGTTTGGGAGGTAATTCTTATAGAGCAGAAAGTACCTGGGATACTAACCAAGAAAAATAACACAAGTCCTAAATATCAGTCAAGATCCAACCAGTATTTTCCTGATTTTATTGTGAGTTCTTTTACTTTTTGTTTGAATCAGAATCAAATTGTTTCACACATTGCAGTTAGTTGGTATGTGTCTTAATCAATAGGATTGTCCTCTCTTTGCTCCATGTAGTGTCCTGTTGAAGGACCGGGGTCACTTGTCCTGTAGAGTCTCCCACGGCAGGAACTCGATTGGCAATGCCGCACCCCAGCACCCCAGCTTTGACACTGAAACGGGGTACCTGAGGGCTACTGTAAATACTCCATAAGAACATGGTTACCCTCTGACCTTGTTCCCAACACAGACACAGAAGAAAAGAAGTGAATAAATAACCTCAATCTCTGTTAGATGTATTTGTTGAGCTCAAATGCTTGCTTCACAGCCCAGGCATCATTGTATCTTGTTAATTTGCTGTTTTCTTTCTTTCTTTTTTTAAAAAATATTTATTTGTTTATTTATTTAGTGTGTGTGTGTGAGGAAGATCAGCCATGAGCTAACATCTGTTGCCAATCCTCTTTGCTGAGGAAGACTGGCCCTGAGCTAACATCTGTGCCCATGTTCCTCCACTTTATATGGGATGCCACCACAGCATGGCCTGACAAGCGGTGTGTCGGTGTGCGCCCAGGATCCAAACCCGGGCTGCCAGCAGCAGAGTGCACACAATTAACCGCTATGCCACGGGGCTGGCCCCTAATTTGCTGTTTTCTTATTTAACCAGAGGGGTGACTCAGTGGTCACAAGGATTTATAAGCTTGTCTTACAGAGGAAAAAGAATGCCTGTAAGGAAGTTACGACCAGCAGATAACTAGCCCCCAGCTGCCACTGATGCCAAGAAGTCTAGTTGCGCAAGGTCTTATCTGAAGTGAAAGAAACACAGATTTCCCCTTTGTTTCCCTGAAACTCCTCCTCCCAAGCCCCTTAGCCCTATAAAGACCCCCTGCTTCCTTCTTTTGTTAAGGCAGATCTGACAGAACCTATTCTCTGGTCTTCTCATTTTGGCCAATTTTATTTATTTATTTATTTTTTCCCCCCCAAAGCCCCAGTAGATAGTTGTATGTCATAGCTGCACATCCTTCTAGTTGCTGTATGTGGGACGCGGCCTCAGCATGGCCGGAGAAGCGGTGGGTCGGTGCGCACCCGGGATCCGAACCTGGGCCGCCAGCAGGGGAGCGCGCGCACTTAACTGCCAAGCCACAGGGCCAGCCCAGGCCAATTTATTTTATTGGTTTATTCGAAACCTTTATCTACCTCCAAGCATGGGTATCTCAGTGATTGGTTTACTGCACATTAGGCATGGACGTGAGATTAAGAGGTACAGTATCAACATTTCCCTGTCCTCTATCCTTTCTTTGGGGTGGAGTCGGACCTACAGGAACCAGATCCCTTTGAATGTGACATGCTTCCTTTAGTTTTTGCACCATCACAAGAGAGGAATTACACTATTTTGAATCTTTTATCAAATTAGCAAAGAACCTAAGAGATGTGAGAGTGCAGGACGCAGTGTTGCCATACGCCACCCAGGGACGGGCCGGGC